CCATGATGGTGGGAGCAACAATCTGTTCTGCTAATGTTCTGGAAGGTCCTTCAGGAATTATGACCACAGAATCATGGAGAAGCTGGACCTGAATGGAATAAGCTTCCTGTGAGAAACAAAAAGTTCTGAGCAGTGCAGTGGGTGGGCTGTCATAGACACCATGGTGCCCATACCCTAGATCCTTTTATCAGGCCAGCACCCCTGGAGCAATCACATTCTCTACTTCCAGGGCTGCTAAGAACTCACAACCACTTCCTTCTAGGAGAACTGCCCACTGCTAAGTGGCTTCCAAATAAAAGCCCCATTCCTGCTGGGGCAACTCACAAGCCAAGCAAGCCAAAAGGCTCACCTCACTTGCTTCATAGGGACAACTCAGTATGGTTTATGATCCAAAACCTGGTTTTGGACCTCCAGTCCTTGTGCATTACCTCGGACCTCATCCTTTCTTGGTTCTTGCCCCTTTCCTATCCCACTTTACTTCCTCTTTCTTGATTTTTAATAGAAGAGTTCTTCCTCCATGAATCATCTCTGCCCCACACTCGGCTTTTAAGGAACCCTGCCTAAAAGAGAGATGGAATGAAATAAAGCAGGGAAGAGGGATAAGGAAGAGGGTCAGAGGAGGAGGAAGGTGAGCTTCATAAATAGGACAGCCAGGAAAGTCCTCCCTGGAAACAGATGGTGCAAATGCCAGGACAAAGGTGGGCAGGCATGGTGGTTCATACCTGCAATCCTAGCTACATGGGAGGTAGAGATCAAGAGGATCGTGGCTCAAGATCAATTTGGACAAAAAGTTCACAAGACCCCATATCAACCAATAAAAGTTGGGTGTGGTAGTATATACCTGTCATCCCAACTACGTAGGAAGGATAAATAGGAGGATCACAATCCAGGCCAGCTCAGGCATAATGCAAGGCCCTATGTGAAAAATAACTACAGTTACCACACACCACACACACACACACACACACACACACAAATAGTATGAGGAGGTCCGTGAGACTGAATTGGAATAAGGCAGATCTCAGCATGGACACACATACACTTAAGTGGCAGAAGCAGGAGGATCATGAGTTCAAGATCAGCCTGGGCTACATAGCAAGTTCCAGGCAAGGTTGAGCTACACAGTGAGACCCTATCTCAAAAAACAAAAGCAAACAATCAATAAAAACCTGTCAGAGCTGAAATCAGAGAGACTTCTTGAGGTCCAACCAATAACATGAGGCCTTGAAGGCTGCTGAAAGGACACTGGCTTTAATTCCAAATGAAGTGGAAACCATGGGGAGGTTCTAAATATGAATGAGATGTGATCTGGCTTGGTTTTATAGAAACCCCCTTGCAACTAAGTTGCCTGAGGCTGCTCAGGCAGGGAAGTAAGGAATGTCAAGACAATTGGAACCCAGAGTTGCCTGATCTTAGAGCATCTTTACCACGCATAGCTTTCTTTTTAGAGCAGAAAGCACACATCTGATACATTTGTTTAAGACACACTGGCTAGATGCTGAGAGCTGACACAATGCAGAGCCTGGCTCCATCTCTTTAAAGGGAAGGTGAAGTTCATACTTTCAGGTGAGGTTCATACTTTCCTCCTCAGCCTCCCCTGGGGAAAATCTTTGATGGTACAACTAATTAAGAGAACAGCCCATCAGGTTTAGGAGTTGCTGACTATGTTGCAGTCCAAGTAACTCCCTAAACCTAAACAAATGGTTTAATCTCAAAACAAGTGGGAAAAGGAAAATGCCTGATTAAAGATAAGTAGCATGTCATGATTAAGGTCATGGGCTCAGACATGTACAGTAATGGATGAAACTGGAGGACGTTGTTAAGTGAAACAAGGCAGCACCATAAGACAAATACTGCATGTTCTCACTTATAGGTGGAAGCTGAAAAGTTGATTTCATAGAAGTAGAGAGTAGAAGAGTGGTCACCAGAGGCTGGGAAGGGGAGAGAGGGAGGTGGATAACGGGTACCCAAAATACATTAGGTAGGAGGAAGAAGTTCTAATTCTACAGCATAGTAAGTTGGCTGTAGTTGACAACAGCTTATTATATATTTTATAAGGAATTAGAACAGAGGAATTCAAAGGTTCCTAATACAAAGAAATGATAAATGCTTAAGGAGATGGAAGTCCTAATTGCCTGATTTGGTAGTTATGCATTGTGTGCATGTGTCAAATGGTCACACTATACTCCATACAGTTGTATGATTATATTACTAATCAATCAAGTAAAGTTTAAAAAAATATGAGCATGGAACTTCTGGTTTGAAACCCAGCTCTGCCAATTATAAGTCATGTGACCTTGGGAGAGTTACTTAATCTCTCTGTGTCTTGGTTTCTTCATCTAAAAATTATACTATGTCCCCTTTTCATGGGTTTTTTTCCCCATGAGGTTTTTAATAGAATTAAATGCATTTACAGTGCCTAGAAGAACATGGTATGTGCTTGCCTTTGTTATTTTTTTATGCACCTGCAATCAGAGGACAACCTCATTGTCACTGAAGTCAAACAAAACTGCATGTTGATCTCTGGACATTCATTCCCAAGTTCAATGTCTCTGTCAACCATATACAGTCCAATTCTAGACTATAAGTGAGCACATTTTCTTTTTCCTACTTTTGTAAAATATTATTGTGCCTTTAGCTGAGTGATTATTCAGCTGCTTCTTACCAATGACCGTTCTCCAGGAAGCTTAATAATGCCTGTCTGTAATCAACTCCATGTGTGAACTCTCAAATGCTTCCCTGTGTAGCTGCCACTCCCCTGACCAGGAGGAACTCTGTGATTAAAAAGCATCTCAAGAGTTCCATCAAGATGCTGATCTCAGTCTCAAACATCGTTAGATATCTACAACTCCACCACCTGCTAAGTTAGAAAGCAGGGGTTCTAACTTCCCAATGCCCCTTACAAAACACAAACAGTTCTTTATGATTTTTTAATTTTAATATTGGACTCAATCAACTGGTTTTACATGAAAATCAACAAGGTACGGAGGAAATGCCCATCTTGTCAGAACATTTTGCATATTATTATCTTACAGACTTGTGATTAACACCAAACACAGGGCAGAGCTAGTCTGGATATGCTCAGCTCAGAGACCCCTACAGCTGAAGACCAACTTGGATCGCCAGTCAAGTAATGTGTTTTTTCCTTCCTCTGCTAATAATTTCTACCTAGACATCCCTGAAAGAAGAGGTTCAAGTTGGCTATGTTTTTTCTAAAGCTGTTCTGTAATTACAACAGCAATGACAATGTCTAACATTCATTTTGTGCATTCACTGCCTCAAGCATTTTGCTCGCTCTTGTTCTACTGTCCTGTGATGTGCTTCTGCAGAAACTGTTCAAAGATACTAGACACATGGCTCAATTTGGGGTTGAGGTCCCACAACTTGGAAATTATTAATTTTATTGTATACCTAAGCAAACCAATTTGGTAAACAAAGCGCTCTTTATATGAAACGTCCAATAAAGTATAGCAAAACCAGTTCTTAAGATGCCGGCTATTGAAAAAGGCAATAAAATTTCAAAAAAGCAATTAGTTTCAAAAGAAAATAACTACGTATTTTTTTTGTCAAGTATTTTATAAACTCAGCAGAGTTTGATGAGTATAATGGTGACTATAGTCCAAAGTCATGGTTTTTATTCCTGACTTTGCCAGATTCCTTTGTCATCACTTGAATAAGCCAATTAAGCCATTGTGCCTTCTTTTTTGCATTTCTAATCAAATGCACACCACCACAATAGGATGTTACCAGGGGAGCACAGTGCTCAACGGAAGGAGAAAACAGTCTTTTAAAAATGTTATTATAATCATTTTCTGTATTTGGCTGGTGTACGCTGCTGTCACTGAGCTAGGTTTTCATCTGTACACAATTCAGTGTAGCTGGCTGAGGCCTTTTGGTTTTTAATTACTAAAATAGTAAGGTGCCAGCGTCATTCTTTTATTGTAAATGCACATCAAAAATGATAGCGAAAAACACTTACAGGACCATACATGTTATAAAACACAAGAAACGAAAAGATTACATAGAAATGGCCCGTTAAATATAATGTAGAAGTTTTAAAATGTAAGCAATAACACAGTACAGTTAAAAAGAGATCAGGTGGCATTCTCACTCACCAGGACTAGAAATAATCCTGAGTGATAACTTGTTCAAACACAAGAAAAGTTGACAAAGGGCATTTTCCCACTTATTGGCATAAGCAAGATAAGAGTCATGTTACTTTCACATAAGGATTACTGAGTAAATTCATCTATGAAGCCCGAGAAGACATTTAGTATGTCTGCAAAACTTAACAAATTAAAATGTCACATCAATGCATTTATTTATGGCAAACTCTCCTGCCAATCATAATATGTTTTACATTAAAAAAATTTATGTTGGGTTTGTATCAAACTCTCATTCAATTATATGATAGTACTGATCATTTTCCCACTGCTACCATGGGATGTGAGATTTTTCTGCTTAAAAAAACATGAATTTTTAAGTAACCTTCTTCAAACTGTCTTGAAACTATCATTCTCTTTGAAAAGTATACAATCAGGAGCCACTTTACAGATTCTGTATAACAAGCTAAAATTTTGCAAATATTTAATTTTAACCTATAGTGAAAACTAAAATGAAAATCTCTGAATATTAATTTCAAAGCATAACTATACTTGTTTTACTACTGAATTAACATGAAATATTGTCTTCCTACATATTTTCTCATTCAAAGTCAAACATACCATATGCAATATTACTAACAGCAGTAAGTGCTAATCCCAGCAGATAAACAGAATACTCATCTTGGTATTTTCCTAATTTGAACCAATACTTTTGATGCATCTTTTTTTCCTCCAAGCACAGACTGTTAGCTCTGAAAGAGGTTCCAGAAGCCATCTAAACTGACCCACCACCTCCTCGTTAAAATGTGGTTTTACATGCATCATTCAGTCTCTCCTCCCACGTTGGTAATGTGAGGCTACTTAGAAAGAAATCTAAAGTTTGCATTCAAACTTTACCTTTGTAAGATTCCAAGTAAATCTCCCACGACATTCTGCACTCCTTCCTTCCCAGGTTTCAAAATTTTTTCTTTGCAGGTATCAAATGCTTTAAAAGGCATTTTGAAGGGGGACACCTCCGAGCTGTTTAGTCAGTCATCCTTTCTTGTTCCAGTATGGGGAGCACGGTGTTTCCTTTGATGAACACCTGGAAGTCAATTCGTATAGAGGGAAGTACTTAAAATCAAAAAGGAGGTGATAACCAGCCCAGATCTTCTAAGAAGAGGCAACCCTCTCTTCTACCTCTAGAAAAATAAAAGGTGGGGAGGAGGGGCGGCAGGGGGAACCAAGGGGTTTCTGGCTGAGCATTCAACCCCTTGTAAAAGCTACAAGCTCAGCAGCAGCCTGTGGCCGCTGTCTCAGGCTGCCACTCTCAGACTGAGCCCAGCCTGTCTCCCTCTCCCTCCAGCTGCAGCTGGAGAAGCTAAAGTGGGCTCCAGCCCACAAGGAGTCCTGAGACCAGCAGTAGCATCTGCAGCCAGCTCCTGTCCCTCCTGCTTCACTCAGCACCCCTGCGGCACTCTCTGAGGGATCCTTGCTCAGGTAACACTACAGTAACCCACACAACTCCTGCTCCTCTGCCACCTGGGCTTATTAATGGGCTCTCAGCCAGAGCAGGCACCCAGAGTGAAGTTAATGAAACATTTACAAGTCCTCTGCTTTCCTGAGGTCTGGTCCCACAGACAGCTCTGAGCCACTAACTACTTCATGCCCTTTGTTCTCCTTGGGGGAGCCGTGAAACATTTTTTCAGCCAGCCACTAGCATGACATGCTCCCTGGGGAAGCACTTACATTTGAGTAAAATAAATGTAAACCCCAACCACAGCCATCTACGAGGTCATTTATTTGGACCTCATCAACAGAGCAAGCTCTCCAAGTGTGGTACATAGGTGCCATTAGAGCCATCTAACTGAAGAGAGCTGAGCCAGTCTTAGCACCTGCTCTCAATCCCTCACTGGCTCCTCATTGTCCTAGGGATAATGTAACCTTTCATCATGACACTCAAAGCCCCTCTGTGTGATGTGAGAACCAAGCCATGTTTCCTGGCCTCTGTTCTCCATAGTAACACTGCCCTTGAACTCAGTAAGCTCCCCATCCATTGTCTCTGAGGTTTACTAGAGCCGTACCCCCTGCCTGAATAAGCATCCTTGCCCTTCATATGGGCAGCTTCTGAAGATTCCTAAATCTCAGGAAGGCATCACTTCCTCTTCAAAACCTCATAGGCAAGATGTTCCTCCTCTGTGCCTCCAAATTGCCTGTCTTCTGCCCCAGCAGGTCCTGGCTGTCAGGGGGCATAGCCTAAATACCTGTCGGGCTTGGTTGCAATAGCAGGTTGCTCCCACAGTTATGGGCTGTAGGATGGTCCCTTCATCAACGACGTCTCCATGAAGGAGCAACCTTTGACTGCCATGCTCCGACCCCAGGCTGCACATGAGTGAGAAACCATGTGCTGTAGGTTCTCAGGTTTCCCAGGAGCCATTTTCACAGAACCAGTCAGTAAGTCACAGTCCAAATCTTTCTCCAAGATTTAAATTCAGTTAAATTAGAGCTGGATCCTCAGTGGACTAAATACTGCTAATTTCTACTAAGCTGTATGTGCCAAACTCTGTTAAGCACTCATTATATATTTACACAATCTTCCCAACACTGTTTGTGGTTAGTAACTTCTTATTTTTCTCAAGTTTACTGACAGGAAATTGTGGTAAAGAGAGATTAGACTTCCCTGAGATCACACAGCTAGTAAATAGCAGAGCTGAGTTTCAGAACCAAACAGCCCTGTTCCTCTCCTCTCCCCTTTCCTTGTCTTCCCTTCACTCCTTTCTTCTCTCTCTCTCTCCATGTCAATTTTTCTCTCAAAATATGCATTTTTGCATTTCATCCAGTTCACTCACTTCCAGTGCACAATCCAATGATTCTTAGTAAATCTACCAAATTGTGCAATTCTCACAAGGCAATTTTAGACCATTTCCATCCTCATGTTCATTGTAAATCCACATCTACACCCCCATCCTGCCCTAGGCAGCCACTAATCTACTTTCTGTCTGTAGATTTGCCTTTTCTGGCCATTTCAGTTAGAATCATATGATAGATGGTCTCTTGTGGCTGGCTTCATTTTTTTAGTGTGATACATTTGAGGTCTGTCCAAGTCACAGCTTGTGTTAATAATTTGTTCTTTTTTTGTCGAATAATATTTCATTGTATGGCTGTATGGACCCATGTGCATAGGGTCCATCCACTGGCCTATTGATGGACATTTGGGTTATTTCCAATTTCTGGATATTATGAAAAAAACTATTGTGAACATTTGTATACAAGACTTTCTGTGGATGTATGTTTTCACTTTGGGGCAAATATCTAGGAATGGAATTGCTGGATCATATGGCAAGTGTATGTTTCACTTTTAAAGAAACTGCCAAATTATTTTCCAAAGTAGCTGAAATATTTGACATTCCCATCAGCATGTATGAGGGTTCCTATTTCTCCATATCCTCGCCAATGTTAGTTGTCTTTTTTAATACAACCATCTTAGTGTGAGTGGTAATGGTACTTCACTCTGGTTTAAATGTGCATTTCTGTGGTGACTGATGACATTGACCATCTTTCCATGTGCCTTCTTCCACCCATGTCATTTTGGTGAAATTTCTATGAACTATTTTTCATGTTCTTAAATAACTTTTTGTCTGCTTATTATTGAAGCATATGCATACATATTCTGGATACAAATCCTTATTGGGTATGTGTTTTGCAAATAGTGTCTCAGTCTGCTGTTTGCCTTTTCATTTTCTTCACGCTGTACTTGGAAGTGCAAAGCTTTCAGATTTTGATGTAGAATTTATTCATTTTTCTTACGAACTGTGTTTTTGTTGCTATATCTAAGAAATATTTGCCTAACCTGAGGTCTCAAAGGTTTCTTTCTATGTTTTTCCTAAGAGTTTCATTGTTTTAGCACTTAGATTTAAGTCTATTATCCATTTAGGGTTCACTTTTATTCATGATGTGAGATAAATGTCTAAGTTTATCATGCGGCTATCCAATTGTCCCAGCATTCTTTCTCCAATGAATTGCCTTGGCACCTTTGTCAAAAAGCAATTTAAAAAAAGATTTATTTTGGACTCTCAGTTTTGTTCCATTCATCTATAGGTCTATTATAAGCCAGCACTGCACTGTCTTGACTATAGCTTTCTAGTAAGCTTTGAAATTGGAAAAATGAAAGTCCTCCAACTTTTAAAAAAATGTTTTTTTCACAATTCTAGATCTTTTATATTTTGCATGTAGATTTTAGAAACAGCTTGTCAGTTTCTATGAAAAATATCCTGTCCAGTCCTATACTTTAAAAGGATATTTTCTGATCACCAAGTTTGCCAACATAATCCCTCAAGGCACAAAACACCAAGGCTCCAGGAAAGCACATCTAATCACACCATGTCTTTACCTGTCTCCAGAAAGCTCAATCATTTGTTAAAAGCAAATACAATATGATAAACATGCCCTCTTGCTACAGAAAGCATCCACTGGTGGAGCTTCTAACCCATTCCTCCAGCCCCAGATACCTTTAGGTCACTTCCCTCTTGCAGCGTACAATGGAAGCAGTTACTGACATCACTAACCACTCCTGCAGATTGTACCTGAGTCCATGCAGTTTCATGATGGTGCATTAGATGGTTGATAACAATATTCACTAAGATTTTTGCAGCATTTCTAAGGATGACTTTAAGCACTTACTACTCGTCTGCTCATTTAATCCCCCAATGACCCATAATTGTATCATCTATAAATGTGAAAGCTGAGACTTGGAGAGGTTAAGTAAATTTATTTAAATTCATACAGCTAAGAAACTGAACAGAGATGCAATAAGGACCCAAGAAGTCTGGTATCAGAACCTGTACTCTTAACTTCTATACTAGAGACCAGAAAATACAGTCAGTGCTAGGGTTTGCATCTGGAATATCCTCCAAAAGTCTATGTGGTAAATGATATGTTCCCCAGCTTGGCACAATTGCGACGTGGTGGGGTCTAATGGGAGATCTTTGGGGATGTGCCCTTTAAGGGGATTTTGGGATCCTACTCCTTTCCTCTTCTTTCAGTTCCCAGCCATGAGTTGAGTGATTTTGCTCAATAACTGCTGCTGCAGGCCCAAAGCAATGAAGCCATCTGATCCTGTACTAAAACCTCTAAAATTGTGACTCCAAATAAATCTTTTTAAAAAATAAGTTGATTGTAGGAAGTATTTATTGTAATACTGGTTAATGAATACAATGAGACTCTACAGAACTGAGGCTCTTTTGTTCACTGATTCAGTAGTTCCTTTTCTTAAGGGGCTAACAGATGACAGGCCCTTTTTAAGCAATAGTGATAGAGGTCAAACTGCCATATTCCCCTTGAAGAAACAAATAACCCACAGAAAGAGTGAGTCCATTGCTTTGTGGTGCATGCTGCCACAGATGGGTATGGAGTCCAAGCAAGGATGCCAGCTAACCCTGAAGATGGGAATAGAATAGTCTTCCTAGGTGAGGGGATGCTAGTGTAAGCTTTCGTGATGAAAAAGAATGAGAAAAGCAAAAGAAAAACATGTGACTTTATCTCATTCTATTGTAATCGATTCCTCATCTATCTGACTTGAGTTTCCTAAATTTATTAAATTCCTTTTATTGGTGGTAGTGGGATTTGAACTCAGGGCCTCACACTTGCTAGGTAGGCACTCTACAACTTGAGCCACTCTGCCAGCCCTCCTGATAGTCTTTTAGTTTCACAAAGTAGAATGGAAAAGTGGGCAAGACAAAGTAGAATGACCAAATAGATATTATTCTTATTTTACATGTGAGGAAACTGAGACTCACTCAAGAACTTGTCCAAAGTTACATAGCTTTTTGTGGAGCCAGTTTGAACCCATCTAATTCCAAATTCTCATTTTATTCTACCACACCGCTCCCAGTAATTCTAGCTCACTGTGAGTTCAGTACTTGAATTGTTAATTTGTATCTGTTTCTAAACTGTTGGATTTTATACTACTATTAAATGTGTCTCTATAATACTATCAAAATACAAAGTTGCATACAACAACTTTATAAGAAGCATATCAAATTCTATTTTCAGTCTAGCATCATAACTGCCCAAATACTGTCATTAATTGTCCCCAAATATATAAATGGTCAAGAACTGGGCATGGTGGTACACACCTATAATTCCAGCTGAGGAGGACCACTTGAGCCCAGGAGTTTCAG